TCCCTCTATATATATATATATAAAATTTTTTTTAATAATGATCATTAAACACAATTCTACCAAATGCCTTAGCTGTTTTTAAGCATTTATTTATATTTGATTACCAAACTGCTATTTCAGCAACTTATATCAGTTATTTCTATAAACTGTTTTTATAAACAACTTATTATAAACTTTAGCAATACTAGATGGGCTCTAACCCCCTCTAGCATTTTCTCTTTCTTTCTTTTTTTAACGTGATTTCTTTTCGGATGAAATAAGGTGCTAAATTAGATTACAAAAAGTATACGGGGGACATTGATTAAAACATAAGAAAGACAGAGTGGAAATTCGCGCATCCTAACAAAAGAACAGATTATCTCGCAAGATTCATAGACACACTGGCGGTGCTGCTTTTTTTCACCTTTCGGCAACTCTTCATCATCCGATAAATCGAACGCCTCACGCTGAGAAACTTTTTTTACCTGCGGAGCTCAAGAAGATCCAAACCGATCAAACCCTAATAATCAGTAGAAATGGAGAAATCTCTCATTGAAAGGCTCGAAGCCGCTGTTGCGCGCTTGGAATCTCTCCCCCTCGGATCTCAGCCAGCGATCTCGTCGCGAGATCTCTCCGGCGACTCGCCCTCAGATCCGGCGGTGATCGCCTTCGATGAATTAGCGGAGAAATCTCTCGGTAGGGTTTTGTCCGCCGCCGAAAAGATCGGCGGTCAAGTTCTTGAGGCGACCAAGATTCTACAGGAAGCTTTTGCGGCGGAGAGAGATCTGCTCGTCAAGGCCAAACAATGCCAGGTTCGATTACGAATCCGATGATTCTTTTGGACGTAGCGTGATTTTTGACCATTGGTAGCTCATTTGAGTAGAAGTTTTGGAGTGGAGAACTGAAAACGCGATTCTTTTTTTAGTGTAATATGTTGATTCTTTTGTTCCTTTTTGAGTGCCTTCTGTCAAGTTGTGATCTTTTGAGTCAGACTGCAGGTTTTATGAACAGATGAGGGTTTGTTCTGTTGATGGTGAACTAGACAGAGAATTTGGTGTTGATGTTAGAGTGTAGAACATATGAATGTATTGATTAAATGAGACTACATTGTTAACTGATGCCTTTTTGTATCGGTTTAGCTGTAAATAAGAAATTAAGAAGTTTGGTTGAATGTTTCGAGTTGAGCTTGAAGTGTTTTTTATTTTCTTCTCACGTTAATTAAATAATTTGTCAAACCGAGTGAAAACATAGGTAGTGTTCTCAAATTTTCAACTCGCATGCTTACATAGTATTGTGATCTGTGATTCAGAAACCAGACGTTGCTGGTCTAGCAGAATTTTTGAAGCCGCTTAATGATGTAATCGTCAAAGCAAATTCTTTGACAGAAGGAAGGAGATCCGATGCATTCAATCATTTGAAAGCAGCTGCGGACAGTCTCGTAGCATTGGCATGGGTTGCTTATTTGGGAAAGGATTGTGGTTTGTGAGCTTAATCTTGAATTCTTTTGGTTATTTATCTCTGTCTTTACTGTCACATGTAATGTTTCATCTTACTGAAGTTCTTTACCTTCTATTTTTTCTTCAAGGTATGAGTCTTCCAATTGCGCATGTGGAAGAAAGTTGGCAGATGGCTGAATTCTATAACAACAAGGCAAGTTGTATGCTTATTTCTTATGTACAATGGTTTTGTATTGTTTTATTGCATTGTGGTCATTCTCATCCTAAGATGTTAATTACCTTCAGGACTTTTTGTGACATCAGAAATTGAGAAAACTTCTTCCACTGTAGATGTGGTTCCTTGAAGGGAAGCGTAGATATCAATCATGTTGAATTTGTATAAAATAGACCAGGAACCTAGTCTTTCATCATCCAATGAGCTAGGATATCATTTAGTTGATAATATTACAAGCATATGAGAAGCACAATTTCTTCAGGATAATCTCGTCCTTGTGAAATGAATATCAATCTCAAAATGTTTGCTTCTTTTTTTTTTTATCCGAGGTGTCAATGACTCAACAAACATACCACAAATTTGCGAAATTAGCACTCAGATGTCCTCCAATTCACATATAGCAATCAGCAATTAGATCCTCTAATTTCTGAACTTCATGTTTGGTTCAATAGAGTTTCTAATTATCTGCAGGTCTAGAGCTTGATATCCTTTATCATTAAATAATCTAATGGCATACTTTTCTGGAGGTCTGTGATTCTCTCTTGACTACCAAACTCAACTTCTAGATTTATTTTTTAGGTCTCTAAGATCATTAATGTCAAATTCAATAGGAAAGACCGTGGCCTGGAAAAGCTAGATTTGAACCCAACAGCTAGGTGATGTTTCAATTTCTCGACTTTGGAAGCATCATCAAACAGCACCGATATTACCAATATATACTGTTAAAGCACTAGATGAATTACCTTTCCTCCTGAAGAACAAACGTCATCAACACTAGTCACAGAGAATTACACCTTAACTATTTCATTTAGCCTTGAAAAGCAAGAGGCGACCATTCTGGACTATACAATATCTTCTCTAACTTGCATTTTTACCAACAATGCAGTATTGTTGGTGGCAAGGGCACACAATTTGCTCAAGAAGCTCCTCATTTGAACATTGTAAATAGTAGGATCATCAATAATAGGAGCCATGCAAATGAAACTTTAATTAAAAATCTCTCTTCAATGAGTTTAATTAGACTTCCAATCTTAAACTTAAGACGAGTGATCCATTCTTCAAGGGAAGACTGGTAATGGGAATTGAAGACGTTGGCTTTAGCAAACAGGTAGGTAAAGAGAAAGAACACCGGCAAAGGGCTCAGTTACCATATCAGTGTAGGGTGGCGGCAGAAAGATGCATTTGAAGTGAAAGGCTAAACGCGTAAATTTGGGGCCCGAGTATTCAAATAAACAAAATTTGATTTGATATTCTATATTCATCAAGCTGATTACAAGTCCACTAAAATAGCCATTTCATAAGCTTCAAATGCACGAGAAAAGGGTAGACCTGATCCTAACCTGAAAAAGTCAATCGAATAATAAGTCTAATGAGTAAGAAATCTAACTAATAAACTGTCTCATAAGCCAACATAATTAACGAATATGACCAACCTTTTCTTCTTACTGTTTTTTTGTTCAGATCAGATTGTTACTCTAAAATATTTTCCCCAGTCGTAATATGTATGAATTAGTATTCCTAACAAACTTTTTACTTTATTGATCTTAGCTCATGCATTTTTTAAAGACAGCCGTTGTCAAAGGTAGAAACTAAAATAAAGATTTAAGCAATGCTGAAAGCCTGAAAGGACTCTTTGAACCTGAAAATACCATCTTCATGTGATTGGTTAATCTTATTTTCTTCCTTATAGCTCACTGGATGTTTGAAGCTTAGCCATCTTTTACTTTTAGGTCTTCTAAACCATTGTATAACTGTCCTGGCCTATTAGTGTAATTAGTTTTGTGGTTAGTAATCTGTTTGCAGTCGGAATCATTTATTTGGCCAGTAAGATCAATACATTATTTGATTCATTGCATAAGTCACAACCTCAAAGTCTGGCATTGGACTATATCAAAATCTTTACTGATTCCAAACTGAATGCCTTACAGAGTAGGAAATTAATTGATCTAGACAGGTATATCATTATGAGAAGCAAACATGTGAGCATTCATAGGCTAGGATGAGAACAGGGCCACAGATACAAGTAAGTAAATAAAACAAGAATTAGATCAAAATGAACATAATGTAAGGTAAAGATGATTTCTGTAAAAAGAGTCTGAGCCATCTGTCACTTATTATGACAAGTATATCTTATGAGCACAGGCAAATGAGAGGAGGATCATCGATGAAACCACATGGAGAGGTATTACTGTATTAGATCAAGATTAAATATAATGTATGGTAACAACGCTTACTACAAACATCTTTGCCACTTAATTATCACATTGCTTGTTTCAATTTATTCTTCCTAGTATATGATAACAGCTCATGCTACATTCACATTTTATTAACAGTTTTTATTGGAAAGCATGCATCTCCTAGGTCATAAAAGAAGTAAATAAATTGATACATTTCGCTTATGACTTTTAAGTATTATCTAGCGGTCACATTCTTGACGAATGTTAGTTTTGACAATGGTATTGTGGACATAAGGATTTTGTATGCCGTTGTATCTGAATGTTGGATGATAGTGATTCCTACTGCCCATACGCCCATACTTAATAACTCATGGTGACTGCAAACCCTCCCTTTTTTCCTCCCCCTCCCCCTCCAACAATCGGACTAACATAAAGTTTAAAAAAAATAATAGCTCCATATGAACTTATGCTTTCAGGTTTCAACTAAGGAGTTTTTTTTAAAAAAAGACCCATTTTGCTAAATAATTAGCAAAACCGACCGTTTTGCTAATTATTTAGCAAAACGCTAAAAAGAAGTCAGTTTTAAAAAATTACTTCTTCGAAAGATAGGAGACTATTAGTCCCGTATGTTTAGTGACTAGTAATTGGCCACTAATGCTACGACAGAAAACCCATGGGACTACTAGTCCCGTAGGTTTGTTGAGTACTCGACAAAACGTACGGGAGTAGCAGTCCTGTATGTTAAGCAATAACTCCCTCGAGCTCGCCCAACAAATCCACAAAACATGCACAAACCTCTTTTGCTGGGCAGACACAAAACCTGCACAAAACATGCACATGTCTCTTTTACTTCATATACATTATTTTTTGACCAAAATTTACGCAAAAATATAGCATCCACTTCGTATACATTGATATACAATATAATATTTATAAAAGTTATAAACTTTAAGAAATAAACATTGGATAAGAACACATTTAATCAATTCACAACATCACAACACGATAGATACGTCATATACATATCAATACGACAAAATACTCTAAACAAATCCAAATGTATCAAGTTTATCCATACGACAAAAATATATTCTAAGTAGAAAAGCTAATAAACTATCACATGCAACCTAAAAGTCCGCCTCTTCCCCGTTGTCTCCCTCTTCGTATTCGCTCAGATCGTCGGCGGCCTCCTTCGACTTGAGCTTGTATGTGCCCGCTCTCTGGTTGTGTATGAGGCTGTGACGGACCATCTTGTTGTGACGGACCAGTTTCATTGTTGTGACGGACCAGTTTCATTGTTGTGCGTGCAAGATCTACCATGTCTTCATCGGCGTGCATATACCCTCTCATGCGCCATCTGCTCGCAACCTTCATGCCGACCCTCATGAGTTTGATAAAGAGCTCTACGAACCCTCCTCACTATCCGATGCAATACCGATACATGTACTGAATCTTCTCTGGCGGTAGCTATGCCCTCATTTACAATCTCCTCTATCTCATCCATATCGTCTATCTACAATTACATAAAAAGATATAATTATATATAAGCAACCAAAATTTAACAAGAGATTGAAAAAACTATTTTAATTTGCGTAATTGACTTACCTATTCTCTCTTATCTACACCTCTTGGTACATATCTTTCTTGTTGGGAGCGTATCTCGATTTCGTCAACTGGAGTGTAGGCTGTCTAAAAATCACAATAGATAGCTGATCCCCATCAAACACCGATGATGGAAGTTACAAATCACAATAGATAGCTGATCCCCATCAAACACCGATGATGGAAGTTACAATCTGACGACTTCCAGAATGCTACAATTTGAAGACTTTCACGTAGATCGCTGAAGGTTACAATCTGACGACTTTCACGACAACCGATGAGAGCTCTAGTTTAACAGCCTTCACCATTAACATCGAGAGTTACAATCTGACGACTTTTGCATATCAAAGAGCTAAAGTAAAGATTACAAAATGACGATCTTTGCAACGCTTCGACAGAAAGAGACTACAAATCAATGGTCTCTTCAAATCAAGACGTGGAAGTCCTCCCCGCGTACCAGCATCAAGATGCGCCGCGTTCATAGCCACGAACGCAGCTCAAATGCAGCTCCAAAAGTTGCAAACGCAGCTTAAATTGCCACTGGACACAGCTCTATTCGCTACCCGACGCAGCTCAACATCGCTGCCCGACGCAGCTCAACATCGCTGTCCGACGCAGCTCAACATCGCTGCACAACGCAGCTCTATTCGCTGCCCGACGCTGCTCAACGCAGCTCCAAGCGCTGCCCAACGCAGCTTTATACCGCTGCCAAACGCAGCTTTCATCCGCTGCAAACGCAGCTTCCAATCACTGCGTTCAAGCTTCCAGACACTGCGTTTGGACACAGAATTCATGCCAGAATGCAGGATCTGCGTTTGACTCGTTCAAACACGAGTTGAACGGTTTCAAAACCGTTTCCCACGATCTGAGGGGATCACAACTCCACTCAGGAGTGATTTAAGGGGCGGTTACATCCCATTAGCCCCACTTAGGAGCGAATTAAGGAGGTGGTTACACCCCTTAATCCCCTATAAATAACTAAAAAATCAACTTAGTTCGGGGCTGGATCTTTCGGGTCGGGCGGTTGGAACTTCTTGGCAGCGAAAAGAGGATCCTTCATCCTTCGGTTGGAGCTTTGGAGATCGGCAACAAGATCTTCTTCATCCTTGGCTTATAACCGACTTTCGGTTAAATCAACTCTTTCATAGAGTTTTAAACTCGTTCAGAGTTCTCCACAACGTCAAATCGTGAGAAGAAGACCACGTTCCAGTGAAACAAGACATCGGATCGTCAACGAGAAGCAAACTCGACGCGAGCATTCGAGGGAGGCATCTCATCGCCACCGTGAAGAACCCAAAATTAAACAAATGGGAGAATCAAATTCATTCTCTTCTCTTTTGTAATCAGGAAATCCAATTGTAACTGAGATTAAAGGAATACAAATCAATTTTCCTTCATTTCTTTTTACTGCAAATTTTCCACAAACATGGAGGCGTGGTTTGAGTGATTATCCACCTAGTCTGGTAATCCCCCAATACCATCTAATATAATCGACTTCCTCCATCGGAGGATAAAGCTGATCGACAATGCTCCCATGCCGCTCATTCCATCTAGCGATGTACGAATGATGCACAAGTGGCCAATCAATCTGATGCCCATCCATAAACGCTTTTTTTCTCTATTTTTTCACAAACTATCTAAGCACGCGATCCAGCACGTGTATCTCCACAATTTCAAAACAAATGAGAAGAACTCTGGCTCTCCATATACCGTGTCCCTCCATGCAAATTAGTAGTAGACTAGGTAGGTAAAGTGCATATGGCTGCCACTTGAACTACAAAAAATTCAATATATTAATAACTCTTTGAAATATATCGGTAGCTTTAAAAAACTTAAATTCAAATTTGATACCTGATAAATTTTCATCCGGTCGAGCTCTTTTCTGTGAAAATCTAACTGTCTTGTCGGGCATCATCATATGCTTTAGTGACGTTTTATCTGCATGTATGATATAAGGTAGGTTCTAGTTTCAAATTTAAAATTTAAAATTAATTTTTCATTAATTAAATCCCAAATTTTTTACCTGCAGCCTAGTGGAATTTGTCCATCTAAATCTTGCATCTCGCATAATCTTTATTCTCGAAACCAATCTCTCTCATGCCCAAACTTGTAACGATATCAAACATCCCTTGAGCTCTTTGTTTTGCATAAAAGTAACCTTCGATATTTCTTTATTTATGTATGCTAAAACAGCACTACTCCATGATAATGTCCTGCACCTGTCGAAGTCCTAGAGAAGCAGTAACCACCTATCACATGGCAAATGTGTTTAGTCATATTTTATAACGATAATGAGCAAAAATCTAGCAAAAAAGATCAAGATAGTGCATTGTAACAATAACAAGATGTCTTATATCAAATGTACTTTATGTTTACTTGAATTGGGAAAAAGAAACGTCCCGATCATGTGCAAAATATATGCACGAGTATGTTGCTGGATCATGACTTAGGATGCATCTTCTGACAAGGGGTTTGCAAAATTTTTTTTAGCCACTTTAATCTAATATATCCCCAGATAAGAACTTTAGAGATAGTCCTAACAAATTATCACAGACTCAGCGCTATACATGCCTACCAGTCTTCGTAACACAAGGACCATTAATGTGGAGACTAAGGAGGCTAGAGACTAACACTTTCCATCTACGTGTTGGCGAGGCGACTATTACTCTCTAAGTCGTAGCAGTGATCATTGGTCTCGCATTGATGGCCCTTGTGTTACAGAGACTGATAGACATGTGTGGCGTCGAGTCTGTGATGATTTGTTAGGACTATCTCTGGAGTCCTTGCCTGGTGGATATATTAGATTGAAGTGGCTAAAAGAAAATTTCGCAAACCCCTTGCTAGAAGATGCATCCCAAGTCATGATCCGACAACATACTCGTGCATAGATTTTGCACATGATCGGGACGCTTCTTTTTTCCGATTCAAGTAAACATAAAGTACATTTAAGGTAAGACAACTTGTTATTGTTATAATGCACTATCTTAATCGTTTTTGCTAGATTTTTGCTCATTATTGTTATAAAATATAACTAAACGTATTTGTCATGTGATAGGTGGTTACCGTTTCTCCAGGACTTCGACAGGTGCAGGCCATTATCATGGGGTAATGTTGTTTTAGCATACCTATATAGGGAAATGTCGAAGGTTGCTTTTATGCAAAATAAAAAACTTAAAGTCATGTTTGACATTGTTACAAGTTTGGGCATGAGAAAGATTGGTTTCGAGACCAAGATTATGCGAGACGCGAGATTTAGATGGACAGATTTCACTAGGTTGCAGGTAAAATTTTTTGGATTTAATTAATGAAAATTAAAATTTAAATTTGGAACTAGAACCTACCTTATATCATACATGTAGATGGAACGTTAGTAAAGCATACGATGAGACCTGGCAAGACAGTTTGATTTTTACAGAGGAGAGCTCGACCGGATGAAAATTTATCAGGTATCGAATTTGAATTTAAGTTATTTAAAGCTACTGATATATTTCAAAGAGTTATTAATATATGGAATATTTTGTAGTTCGAGTGGTAGCCATACGCACTTTACCTACATCGTCTACCACTGATTTGTATGGAGGGATACGAAATATGGTGAGTCAGAGTTCCTCTCATTTGTTTTGAAAATATGGAGATGCACATGCCAGATCGCGTACTTAGACAGTTTGGTTTCCCACAACACGCTCCACAATATGTCGAAAAAATAGAGAGAGGGACGTTTATGGGTAAGCATCAGATTAACTGACCACTTGTGCATCATCCGTACATTGCTAGATGGAATGATCGGCAGTGGAGCATTGTCGAGAAGCTTTATCCTCCGATGGAGGAAGTCGATTATATTAGATGGTATTGGGGGATTACCAGATGGTGGATAATCACTCAAACCACGTCTTCAGTCGACGAAATCGAGATACGCTCCCAACAAGAAAGATATGTACCAAAAGGTGTAGATAAGACAAAATGGGTAAGTAAATTGCGCAAATTAAAATAGTTTTTTCAATCTCTTGTTAGATTTTGGCTGCTTATATATAATTATATCTTTTTATGTAATTGTAGATAGACGCTATGGATGAGATAGAGGGGGTTGTAAATAAGGCATAGCTACCGTCAAAGAAGATTCAGTACATGTATCGGTATTGCATCGGATAGTGAAGAGGGTTCATAGAGCTCTTTATCAAACTCATGAGGATCGGCATGAAGGTCGCAAGCAGATGGCGCATGAGAGGGTATATGCACGCCGATGAAGACATGGTAGATCTTGCATGCACAACAATAAAGCTGGTTCGTCATAGCCCCACACACAGCCGGAGAGCGAGCACATACAAGCTCAGGTTGAAAGAGACCACCGACGATCTGAGCGGGTACGAAGAGGGAGACAACGGGGAAGGGGAGGACTTTTAGGTTGCATGTGATAGTTTATTAGTTTTTTTTACTTAGACTATGTTTTGTCGTATGGATAGACTTGATACATTTGGATTTGTTTAGAGTATTTTGTCGTATTAATATGTATATGACATATCTATTGTGTTGCGAATTGATTAAATGTGTTATTATCCAGTTTTTATTTCTTAAAGTTTATAACTTTTATAAATATTATACTGTATATCAATGTATACGAAGTGGATGCTATATTTTTGAGCAAAATTTGGTCAAAAAACAATGTATATGAAGCAAAAGAGGCCTTTGTAGGTTTTGTGTCTGCCCAGTAAATCCACGGGACTACTAGTCCCATGGATTTGCTGGGCGAGCTCAAGGGAGTTTTTGTTTAACGTACGGGACTACTACTCCCGTACGTTTTGTCGAGTGCTCAACAAACCCACGGGACTAGTAGTCCCGTGGGTTTTCTAGCTTAGGATTAGTGGCCAATTACTAGCCACTAAACATACGGGACTAATAGTTCCGTATGTTTCGAAAAAGTAATTTTTCAAAACCGACATCTTTTTGGCCTGTTGGGCTAAATAATTAGCAAAACGGTCGGTTTTGCTAATTATTTAGTAAAAATGGTCTTTTTTAAAAAAACTCCTTTCAACTAATATGCTAATGTCTCTGCAACACAAACTTTATGGGCGGGATATATGTAGTTCCAATGTTTGTAGGACAAATTTAATTCAGATAGTACGAAAGCTTTGATCAACTGCTATTGTTCCTTCTGCGTATGTATGTCTTATTTCTTAACTTCTAAGTATATATGTCTTATTTCTTAACTTCTAAGTGAGATCAACAAGTTCTTGAGTTGTGAAATTATGGGCTCATTGAAATGATTTTGAAACTCCATCCTTTTTCCTTTTGTTCTGTCTTTTTTGTTGTTGTGTTTTTTGGCTAAATCCAAAGTTTTGTGTCATTCCATGTAAATCTTGATTACCTGTTTCTGAGATATACAGCAAGGTCCACTAAAGAGAAAACCCTAGTCTTAGAAAGGGTGAATTTCACAACCCACCCCCGCCCCTTAAAAAAAAAACGCGCACACACGCGCATACACATACCCGAAAAGAACTCTGGGGGTGTTGCACATAACCCTCCTAAACTTTGTTTATCTCACATAACCCCTCCTAAACTATTGAGTGTCTCGCAAAACCCCTCTGAATTTTACCTTATCTCACCTAACCCGATTGCAAATAAATACAATGTCCTTGAGTGAAAAAAATTCAAAACTTTGTCACCTGTCATTTACAAGCAATATATCCCCCCTCCCCTAAATTTTGAGATTCTTTATCTCAATTAAATTGTAGTTATTTGCAAATTATGTTGAGGGGGTCCAATGAGAAAGTTCACGGGGTTATGTGAGATAAACAAAGTTCACGGGGGTTATGTGCAACACCCTCTTTCAGAATTTGCGAATTTAACCCTCTTTTCAAAGTTTGATCTTTAACCACAACAATAATGTTTACCTTTCAAAATTCAGGTTCTTGTTGGGTATAGAAATACAGATCCGAACCACGTCGAGTGGGCCAAAGCTTTAAAAGATCTTTATTTTCCTGGTTTACGAGACTACGTTAAGGCTTTTTACCCTTTGGGGCTTGTATGGGGTCCAGCTGGGGGCAAGGTTTCTTCTGCTCAGGCTGCTGCTGCTTCTTCCTCCACTAAAGCTCCCACTGGAGGAGGTCCTGTACCTCCACCTCCTCCACCTTCTAATCTTTTCAGCTCTGAAACCGTGTCATCACGGCCTAAACAAGGCATGTCTGCTGTTTTTCAAGAGATCAGCTCCAAGCCCGTCACTGCAGGTATGCATTCTGGTTCTTCCAGTGTCGTGCTGAAACTTTTATTTTCATAGTTTTTTAATGGCAATTTACTGCAGGTATGCATTCTGGTTCTTCCAGTGTTGTGCTGAAACTTTTATTTTCATAGTTTTTTTATGGCAATTTTCTTAGATATAAATATTCTTATTAATAGGGTTGAAGAAAGTAACTGATGACATGAAGACAAAAAACAGAACGAATAGAACTGGTGTTGTCAATGCAGCAGAAAAGGAATCTCGCACCAGTTCCTTCTCCTTTTCCAAAACAGGGCCCCCCAAATTGGAACTTCAAATGGGTCGCAAGTGAGAATGTTTAATTGTTCTTTTATAAAGATGGTTCTCCTGTCATTACCCAGAAGAAGCAAAATAATAATAATAATAATAAATCTTGATTTACTTGTTTTTTTCCATGTGTTGGAAAGATTTCTAATTTGATGGGACTGGATGTGCTTGTGTACATGCTTATCTGTGGATACATCTTTTGCAGATGGGCGGTTGAAAATCAGATTGGAAAGAAGAACCTGATTATTGATGAGTGTGACTCAAGGCAATCTGTATATGTATTTGGGTGTAAAGATTCTGTTTTACAAATCAAAGGTAGTCTTAAATTTTTTTTAAAACTTGTATATATTTTGACTGAAAAGAATTTCGTTGCCAAACTTTATTTTAATTTATGGTTCATGATTTTCAGGAAAAGTAAACAACATAACCCTTGATAAGTGCACAAAGATGGGACTTGTGTTCTTGGTGAGTATGTAAAATAGTTACCTTCTTTGAAATGTACGAGTGGAATTTGGGTACACTATGTTAATACTTCTTTCTTTTGTTGACAAAGGATGTTGTAGCTGCCTGTGAGATTGTGAACTGCAATGGTGTGGAGGTACAATGCCAGGTAATTTCATGCTTAGAGTTAAATATCAACAGTTCACCAATGAGTATAATTCCTTACCTCATTAAGTGTGTGCTTTTTTTATGTACTTTGATCTAGTCATGACCACTTCTGATGATTGTTTCTGTTTGGAGATTTTGTATGTATCTGAATACTTTGAAGATCTTTATTAAAACCTTTTGAATGAAATCGTTTGTTCAGGGGTGACAGGGCTGGGGTAGGGCTGGGGATGGGGGTTGTCTTCACTCTTCATTTAACTGTTTACTGCCAGAAAAGTATGCTCTTTATTCTACAGATTTTTCATGCTTTAATAGTGCTGAAGAATGTTCTATTACACCATAAGAGACTGTAGTTAAACATGGTATATTCTAGGTCTATTTCATCCATTTCTGGTTTAAGTTTTTTTTCTACTGTAGGATAGCTTGATGTGTGTTTTCAGGATTTATTTTAATACTGCTCTTAGTTGAAAGGCAGCATGTCAGTGGCTGATAAAAAGTGCAAGTCTGCCACCTTTCTTGAGGCTCCAGTCAGTTATTAACTATGATTTCTCATTCAAGAGCTTGAATTGGAGCCTCCTAATAAATGCATAAAAATGTCAAGTTCTAGGGCAGTAGTCTTAACATGGGAGGCATGGGAGTCATATATATGATTTTAGTGTCACTATATGGGTGTAGAATCATGGAAATGGTGAAAACTGTGATCCTATGATTTTAGAGGCTAAAATCACTGCAATGCAAATAACAAGTTGCGTATGTTGGTTTCTGTCTATTCAGCATGCTATAATAAAAAATGGTATTTTAGCTGTTCTATGATAAATAATATATCTTTCAAATTTGAGCTGGTAAATTATCCGTAAGTCAATGGTATACAAATTGTATTTGTCCTCGCCCGTAACAGTAAGTTATTCTCATTGGAGGCATGGGAATGTTATCGGTGCTTATAAGGGCCACCCTATCGGTGCGGAACCATGGAAATGGTGAAAACTGTGATCCGATGATTTTAGAGGCTAAAATCAATATGATGCAAACAAATGGTTGTGGATTTTGGTTGTTTTCAGCATAGTATGATCAAGGGATGGCCTTTTAGCTCTGATGAATGATAATCTTATAAATTTGAATTATCTTGCTTACAAGTCAATCATCTTCTGGAATCTAGATAAATAGTTAGGAAAGAGATCTTCATGCGTTATATGTGTGGTCTATGTTAAACAAAATGGTTTGCACTGAACTCAGGCAGTTGATTGTCAAAATCCAGTTTCCAAGAGTTCAGTTCCGTTTCAGTACATCTCCGCTTTTTATGCGTAAGTAAGACTCTTTCAAGATATCATTCGCTGGTTACATCATTGCTTGCTTTTGTGCAGGGTTCAGCACCCACAATATCAATTGACAACACAGCTGGATGCCAGCTATATCTAAGCAAAGATTCATTGCAGGCTTCTATAACAACCGCTAAATCAAGTGAAATAAATGTGCTAGTCCCTGGTGCAGAAGCTGACAGTGACTGGGTAAGCATCCCCATTTTTCCATGTATTGGTGATTTGTTCCAGGACTTCTTATACAGACTATAGATTTTGAGCCTGTTAGATTCATCTTCAACCACACCTTATATGAATCACAACTTTCTACACTTACTAAGAAAATGGGCCATGTACACTTATAACTTGTGTTTATTTGTGGACACTTGTAGCTTGTGTTGTATGTCTGTGATGTGTGTGTGTGTGTGTCTGAGGTGTGCATGTAAGGGATGAATAGGTTTATTTTTAACCTCAAATTTTTATATATAAAAGTTGTGCAGTCTTTCAGAAGGATGCGTATGCTGACTCTTCTTATCTCGCTATTATTTTTTATACTGAACAAAGGCTGTAGTCTGGACATGAAGCTAGGACTTCCCACAGACTTCAAAAACTGGGCTAGGACTGAGAGGCTTATGCTTACTCTTATTCTTAATTTAACCGGATTAATATATAGACATACAATTATACATGTACTGGTTAGGGACCGGTATTTTTAACAATGCTCGAGGTAGGCAACTCTGACTTGTTCATTCCTAGTTTGACCTTACTGTTCCAAAACCCATTCAGCTGCGTTTATCTAGGAGCTGAATAGTTTATCTGCGACAATTTTTCCATTTTTTACATCGACAGAAGGCTTGTACAGAACACTTTGTGATATATTGTGAACTGCTCACAGGCCTTACCTTTGCTTACAGACTTATAAAAGGGACTTGTATGCGTTTAAATCAAATCAAACAAATATTCAGTAGTGATTGGCATGTTGCTTAGAACTTTACGTTAAGCCTTTTCTTTGAATATTCTGCAGGCAGAGCATGCATTACCCCAGCAGTTTGTGCACGCTTTCAAGGATGGTATCTTTGTAACATCACCCGTCTCTCACTCTGGCGGGTAATAAAGCTCTTTTTCAACCTTTACCCGTCTCTTGTTATACTATTACTCGGAGATGAGGCTTGTGTTGTATTATTGTGTTTGTAAGTCTTTAGATCCATCGAGTTGTTTCTGATAGAATGGTGTGTTGCCTATCAGTGATTTTTTTCTTCGTTCATTCAATGGGACAATCTGTTTGATATGTATTTTATCGGTGTGATTGGTTTCGTGTAAGGAGATAAGTTTTTCGTGTTCATTACTTATGTATATCAAAGATCAAACTTGATGTATGAAAGATTGTTGTTTTGAATTATGGCGTCTATGCAAAGAGATCTACCAGTGGGTCTAATTGAGCTTTCATCCAGATTGGCCTCTCAATCCTCTAGGCTTTGTGGTTTCTGATTGCTTGAGTGATGGACAATTTGCTTCTGCAATAAAACCAGTTCTCATATAAACCATCCAGTTCCTTTAGTTTCTTGTTGGTGGGATGATTAGGTAGGTAGCCAGCGATATGGCGTTTTCTTGGTGATGTGGAATGCTAAAAACTTGAGCTCTTTTCTGAATCTCTTTATGCAACCAAATCACATATTTAATTGTGTATAATGCCTGTGTAGCTTTCAGATGATTATGGGTACGATTAAGTTGTGTGGGTCCAATAATTAGATTTAGGTCAGTTTCATGGTGCGCGCAACATAAATATCTAAAGCCATCCTAATGCAGCACAGCTAATACTTTTTTGCTTGATAATAAAGGATTTAAAGAAGCTTCTAACAATTTGAAAGAGGCCATCGGGGGTGCTGAGAACTGAACCTCTCTTTCTTTTGTTTTACACATAAGAAGAAATGATGAAAGACTTTGAGAGACAAATTTTCAAAACCGACCCATTTAGACTTTTATTCCCAAAAAGCGATCTCATTCAAACAAAATTGCAAAAACCGGTCTGGTTTCAGCCTCAGCGCTGAAACCAGGTTGGTTTTTGAAAATTTTTTTCGAAACTCCCGTGAAGTTTAGTAGATCTGCTAAACTTCAGGGCCGAGGCTGAAACCAGATCGGTTTTTACAATTTTGTTTGAATGAGGTCGTTTTTTAGGGTTAAGTTCACAAATGGGTCGGTTTTGAAAATTTGTCCCGACTTTGAGAGGTCGAAGTCATTAGAGAGGACAAAGGGGGTATTAGACGTGACGGGCTTGAAAGAGCTGGGGATTTGATGCTGCCGCCTATAAAAATTCTGCTTTAGGGAATTTCGAACAGCACATAGAGCTTCTACGAGCTGTTAAATTCGAGACTAACCCGAGTATTCTTAACTAGAAAATGCTAACCAGACTATAAAAATTTGTACTACCCATGTATTACAACATGAAATATGGGATCCATTGAAACGCACGATTTCTCATTTCCTTTAAACTTTCCGTGTATTGTAGTGAAATGATAATATAAATTTTCAATCATTTATCGATTATGAATTTATACATTAGGATATAAATTTAAGAATTCAGATTAACAAATCAGTCAGGGGTTGGATTTGAACCTATTTTACTTCATTGCCACCCAATGAAAAGCAAACATACCTTTCTCGGGGAAATGAAAAAAGGCCAATGGCGTGCAGTATTTAAGAAGAGAATAGCTTAGTGGTTAAGGTTGCGAAGACACCAGTAAAGTTTCCTGAAAAATAAAGGATGATAATAGAGAGAGAGAAGCAAACGTTTCCATCAATGAAAAGACTCTGTTTAGTCCCTTCACTTAAAGAGCGCCAAAAAGTTCAAATATAGATTTTTTTTTAAATTTTAAATCACATTCAAATAGACTAATAATACCGAAATTACATCTTGGGCAACAATCTATGCGACCATGTTCGCTCAAAAACATTAGTACACGTTTTGTATCGTAACCCTTCTTTTATGGCGCTTGCTAGGGATCATGTTTCGTATCTACTGCTTTCTCTTCTCTAAAAAGAGATGATATCAAAATATGAAAAACATCGCTTGTTGTTTGGTATGTAAGAATTTTATAACATGAACAAGTTTTATTTGTAAAAGTATTTTACAATTGCAACTTCTCTATTTTATAATTGACTTTTTAAATTTATAACCTTGCAATTATGGCCTACGTGCAAATATGTACAAATCATCATATGCAATTGAAGATGTTTCAGTAGTTATGCGTACGGTTGTACTTGTCACAATTGTAATGAAATGCACATTTTTAATGGTCCAAAATTCGGATGTTTTAAGTTACACGATCGAAATAAAGGTTAAATTGAGCATGGACTCTTTGTATTTTCGTGCCGTGCTATCTATTTGCCTCTTGGGTTTTATATATCGACAGGTAGATCTCAGAAACTCGTCGCCCTCCACACCTCCCTGGAGATGGAGCAAATAGTGGAAAGGAAATGAACAAAGTGCAAGCGAACAACGAATCTATGCGCCACATATCTCAGATGGTCTACACCATTCATAACTATACTAATGGCAGGATTGGAGGGTTTTTTTTTTTTTTTAATATCAAACGAACCTCTCCAGAAGGTAATCTTAATGTGACCGATTCCTCCTCTTTTTTTTCTATCAGTTACTACAGCTATTGTAGCTCTTACTAAATTATCTATCCTTTTATATCAAACGGACCTCTCCAGAAGATAATCTTAATGCGACCGATTCCTCCTCTTTTATTATATCAGTTACTACAGCTCTTGCAGCTCTTACTAAATTATCTATCCTTTTAGCTTAATTATCTATCCTTTCTAAACGTGATTTATACATTACGTGTGACCGAGCCTAAAGACGCATCAGTTATAAAATAGATTCTCTTTTTTTCTTTTTATTTATCAATACGAATCCCATCCCATAAACTGCACAGCAAAACTGTTGGAAATTAGAGAGGAGATGAGGAGATAATATTTTTCTATATAATTCATCAACTAAAAGTGCCTTTATATAGGCTTACAAAACAACTTAATCCCATAAAAATCTAAACTAATTAGCAACAACTCCACTAACAAAATAACAACCTAATAACAAATTTGAATCAGTTATTCAACATTCCCCCTTGATTCAAAATTTCTTGTCATTCCTCTTGAATCTTCATAGAGCACTTCTCTCTACTTTGTGATGCACTTCTCATCTCAAACTTGTTGACGCACATACTCACCAATCATTTCTTAAAGGAACACTTCTCTCAATCTCTCCATGGCGCACATCTCACCATGATTCCTAGAATAAAATTTATTTTTTAAGAGGTATAACATCACCCGCTAAAGCAGCACAAGCTGGCAGCTTTCTTATAGATTTGAGCAAACCCGTAAGTGGACCTGGAACGACATTACTGACAGAAAGAGAACCTCGCTCATCAATGATTATGTTGGTATTATGCAAGTCTCCTTCATGAACCCAGAGGTAAGGCTTTCCCCTCTTGAAAATATAGTGCACATTCGAAGTGTGAATCTCACTCTTGCTGCCTTTGGAGTCGACTTTGATGGTGTTGAGGTGAGCTTGGGAATTTGCACCCAAAATGCTTCTGCATCTCTCGGCGACGGTTAAAGCCGCTGCCTTGCTCTTCATCATCGCCTCCGCCATTGATTTTAGGGCTAGGGTTTTTATCCCCCCTCTCCTCGTTTTTGAAGAGGACATCACTCTATATTTTTTTTAAAATCCTCACAAACCCAAGAAACTTGGAGCTCTGATACCATGTTGGAAATTAGAGAGGAGAGGAGGAGATAATATTTTTCTATATAATTCATCAACTAAAAGTGCCTTTATATAGGCTTACAAAACAACTTAATCCCATAAAAATCTAAACTAATTAGCAACAACTCTACTAACAAAATAACAACCTAATAACAAATTTGAATCAGTTATTCAACAAAAACTTCACGAGCTGACGCGGTGACGCTGCGCGATGGCTCCCGGTCCATGTGCAATTAATCCTCGCGATCGTCCAAATTAAACCGACCCCACCTCCACAGGTGAAGGCTACTGTTAAATGCACATCGCTGGAGGCTTGCCTTGACTACCAACAGGGAACCAAATCGACAACAGCTGCACGACGAAGCTTTTGGAAAATTATAAAGCGCACGCAGCAAAACAAAACAAAACAAAACAAAACAGCACGAAGTTACGGAAATACCCCCGAGCC